CCGCGGGGCGTAAACGCAGCAAACCCAGACCTGCCGGTGCTGCTCCGAGCGCTGCGCGCCCCGGCAGCGAGCCTGCACGCTGCAGGACGCCTGGCGCCTCCGAGCAGAGCAGCTTCCCCGGCGACCCCTTGCCCCCTTTGCGCGGTGGTCTGACCCCCCGCGCCTCCACAGAAAGGTTTCATCGCCCGGCCTGACCGGGTCAGCGCCGCTGTGACGCAGGGCGCGCTGTAATTTCAGGTCTGGCTAACGAGGGGGCCTGGCCGTCCTGCGCGCGTCGCCCGTGCAGAGGCCTCTCTGGGGATTCAGAGTCGGCGCCTGCAGTCGGCCGGGCCTCGCCTCAGCGGGCGAGAACGACTGCCCGGGTGGCGCTGGGATTCGGACAGCTTTCTGCGTACCGCTGCTGAGGGCCTGGCCGTGGGTCAAAGCAGGGGTGAATAAACCAGAGCACAAGCTATGTTCAGCTATGGAAAATGAGAGAGAAAGTGATTTTTGCTGATTGCTCCTTCCCGTTCTGCCCTGCTGCGGCTGGGCATGTGTTTCCCTCTGTAGCCCAGATGCTGCGTCGGGGACCCGTCAGCTGCGGTAGCAGAGGCGTTCTTGGGTTTACAGCGAAACCTGTGACAAAACGTTCACTTCCAGTAAGCAACACCTCTCCGATAGCTATTTAAAGCCTCTGTCTCCATTGTTCCAGGGCTATTTCCTTTTTCCTCTAAGGCAACCTACAGTAGGAAGCCGCTGGTCCCTCAGGTAGCCCACTTCCACATCGCTTGAAGTCTTGCCTGCTTGTGACGCTTGAGGCCAGCAGAGGCTGGGAGCTTGTCTCCCGCTTCCTGCCTTTTGTGGACTCGGCCAAAGATAACACTTGAGTTTGGTCCGGGAGACCACAGAAGTGGGCCCATTTCTGTTGTGATTCACCTATTCCACTTTCAGGTCAGAAGATTGGCCTTGGTGAGACTATTAAATGGTTGTGCTTTCTTGGGACATCCTTCTCTACCCTTTGAAGTCCACAGAAATGTTCCCACTGATTTCAATGGAAAAAGCTTCCTCTTTAGTCTGGTGTGCTAGCTGGTGTGCCCAATTAGTGTTTCCTACTGATTGGAAGTGAAAAGGACTAGGCACTGATTGTGGATGTTTGCAGATGAAGGCACTTTACGCAGTACTTGCGATTTACAAATCAATAATTTGGTAGCTTTTTTTTTTTTTTGGCTGATCCAGTCAGCATCTTAGCTAAAAACGAACTGTAAACAGCAGTAGTTTTTTCAAGATGAATGAAAATCTTGCTCCGTGAGACCTGCAGTTGCTCCTGTGAAAACAAATATGGCCTGCAGAGCTACAGAAGATTAACTGAAAGCAAGACATTGAAATCAAATTGCCAGGTTTGGTTTTCTTGACAGTGTCCTTCAGAGCGTAGATGACCACCTGGAGTCCAGCCTTATGTGAGGGTTGGCATTTACAGCAACCAGAGCCCATCTCAGTCACGCAGGGAATCACTTTCCAAAGCAGTTTTCCTGCCAACAGGGTTTGTTTGCTTGGTGATGAGAAACAATGGTCACCTCAGTTTGTTACTTGAGCATTTTAGTGATTGAGAAGTGGCATCTGGCACTGTGCTAAACCCATTTTCTTAGCTAGCCAAATGCCAACTTGGCAGCCTATCTAGAAAGCTGATAGCATCGAGACAGGGTGATTATGGGGATTGTTTTCAGCAGTCACTAGAAAGTCTGCTTTTGCACCTCTTTGACACCTCTCTGTAGAGAAAAAAAAAAAAGTTACCATCAGCAGGATTGGAAGGACTGGAGGAGAGAGAGGAAAGAGGCATGGGCATGGTCTGGAGCTTAATATTGTGCTATTTTGCACCTTCTGTCTGAGGATTTCAGAGTGCCTTAAAGACAGTAATGGGTTTAGCTTTGAGTTAGGCTAGCATTCATTCACTAGAGTAGTGTTAACTGTAGGTGACAAAAGGGGAAAGCGTGGCACAGAGAACCTGACTCCAACCTTGTGTTGGAAGAGGAACGAGAGAAGGTAAGCGACTTTTCCAGTTACATATGAAGGACCTAGTCTTTTATTTTGCTAAGAAAAAAGTCGTTATATACCATTTTTTGAAGTTTTCTGCCTCTGGGCTGTGTCCTCTGACATACACTCATTTCTCGTACGACCCTGTCCAGTTGCCAGAAATAGCTAGAGAGCTGAAATACTTTACCCAAACCCCTTGATCTGGGGGTTCGGAGTGCATTCGGAGTAGGACAGTCATGAGCTGCTGTGTTGTCTTGGTGCTACCCCAGGTGCCTGGGGAAGTTGGACCAAGGCTGCCCTCCTGCACAGCACATGAATACGCAGCTCCCACGTTGTGTCCTCACTGCGTGCTGCCTCTTACAGTCTCTAGATTAGACCTTCAAATACAACCTGCTGCTGTTTCTCTAAGTGTGAGCGTAGTATCTGAGAAGGGGATAATGCACTTTAGGTTCCATCCTTATTTTACTGATGTCACAAACAAGTTATTCTTGTACGCTGCAGAAAGCCTCCCAACCACAAAACCAGCAATAACTTTATAAATGATAAGCTTGTTTTCTTCCTCCTCTTCCTAGATATTCTCAGTACGGCAGACAGCAAAGAGATGAGCATTGCTGGAATCCAGAGAGTTTCATAACGTGGCGGCTGCTTGCTGAAAGCCCTGCAGAGACAAAACAACATTTATTTTAAGTCTTGAGAAACATCTCTGACCGAGTATAAGAAAACAGGATTTAGGTGGAGCAATATTGCCAGTCCCATAGGTTCATGAGGCTTGGGATTTTTTTTGTCTTTACACATTTTAAGTGCTTTTTATTTTTACTCTGCTTTTTGAGTCTCGCAAGTTCATGTTTTCCAGTTTAGGGGAGAGTTTTGTGTTTTTATTTTTTCATACAAGGCAGTCTGGAATCAAGTCATTACTTTAAAAACAAAAACCTTATTGAGAATACCGTATAAACACAAAACTCCAGACATGGGATGTTTAAAAATAAGGCCAGTTTCATGAGAATTGCCCATCTTGAGGGTGATTTTTCTGTTCTAAGTAAACACATTGTTGACAGTTCTAAGAAGCTTTTAATAACACCTGATCTGTGTTTGCTTTCCAAGCAGATCTCTCCCGCTCGCTCGCTCGCTCGCTCTCTCTCTCTCCTCTCTCTCTCTCTCTCTTTCTTTTCTAAGAGTCTAGCACTCTTTTCACCTCTACGATTGCTGATGAGGCCAGAAACGCAGTGTAGCAGCATAACTTTGTGACATGTGTTTCAACACATGCACATACCACGCTTTCAAATATACATATGTTTTTTCATGCATTTGTCTCCTTAAGCTGCTGACTGGTACTGCAGGATACAGGACATCAAGAAGAAGGTCATTCTGGGTGAGGCGATGGGGGAGCCGGGACAAAAAGCCTAGTGTGGCTTCCTGAGGTGTTCATTGAGGATGCCTCACAGGCGTCTTCAGAGCCTGAAGACAGCTTAAAATTAAACACAGTCCTCGTTTTTGAAAGGGAGTTGATAGGTGAGTGGATTTCTTTGAGTTCAGTTTGATAAAAATACTTATCTTAAAATCTGTTGGTATTCTGACACAGCAGTACTTTCAAGCTGTACACATCAAGGCAAGAATAAAAGGTGGACGGATAAGTCCTTATTCAGTGTAAAGATTTGTCTTTCACTGCTGCATTTGTGCCAAGTGCCTGGAAATGTATTGTGCAAGGGACACAGAAGGAGCGTTTTGACTGGCTGCTCTTTTTGTTCTCCCTCTATCAATAATGTTCGGTAAATGCCGCGATCTGACGGCCTGCCTTAGTGTTACGCGTAAATCCCGTTCTGGGCTCCCAAGCCAGATGCTCTAGACTGGCGTTTCCAGGAGGTTACTGCTCTACTTGTGTGGCTTGAATCGCTTAAGTCTTTGGCTTTGTGCCGTAAAGTGCCAGCAGAGGCATGCTGTAATTGCCCGTAAATGCACCGTCTGTCATATTATTGTTTAATTATTCCAGCTTCTCAGCACCATGCACTGCTTAGTGTCTCTCTTGCTATCTTTATTTAATTGAGTGGAAAAAATCTGAGACTTGTGCTTGCTTCGCTTGCCTCACTTTGTATTTATTCAGTATCACTGGATCCTACTCTAAGTCCCAACTGCTGTCTGCAGAAGTCAGCCTTTTATAGGGTCAATAATGTCA